TTCAACTCTCTAGGGAGTGTATGTGTGTGCGTTTGTGTGTATCCAAAATGTAGCAGTTGGTCAGGGACCCTGCTGCTTCCTCCCTTGCGGTTGGAAAGTTCTGCCCTTCGGGCCCTTACGAAAGCTCTCTAGCTCTTTCTGCCATCCCTCCCACCCAAGATTTTCCATCACGTGGCTTCCTCCCCTTTGGTCCTCTCAGCTTAACTGTTTCCTCCCTGCAGAGAGGAAGGCCTTTCTCCATAGCTACTATGCTTGAGCATTTGTAAATGGCAAGCGTTGCAATTCTGTATTTCCATGCATCTTTCAAAAGATAAAGAGAAAGAGGGGACATTTCCAAAACACAAGCAGTCGAGCATTAGAAGTTCCCTAGCACCCATTTCAATACGCACATAATTCCCCTTATGCTAATAATAATAATATGCAACTGGAAAAGCTTACACAATATGAGGATTTAAAGATCAAACTGCAAAGACTCTGGCACAAACTAGTAAAGGTGGTCCCATTAGTGATCGGCGCACTGGGTGCAGTGCTTAAAGACCTTGGCCAACACTGTCAGCTGCAAAAGGCCACCCTATTTGGATCTGCACACATTATTCGCTGATACATCTCACAGTCCAGTTGTGATTGATTTTTTTCTCTGAAGACATTCTTGCCAAAAAAATCTCCATGTCAATTCTTTTAATTCAAAGACTGAATGTCTTTGAGGGATGTTGGCTCATATTCACAATTTTTGGTGAATTTTCAGTTGTTGGTGATCTTCTGTCTCTTCCTTTTTCGCTGTCTCTTTCTCTTTTTGCCCAGGATATTAATTCTTGCTCCACTCTTCATCTCTCAGTTCTTCTTTTGTTTAACTTCCACTGAATCTCTATTTCTTTTCAATCAAAATATAATTATATATAGTAGAGGTAAAGGTTTTCCCCTGACATTAAGTCCAATTGAGTCCGATTCTGGGTATTGGTGCTCATCTTCATTTCTAAATCGAAGAGCAGGCGTTGTCTGCAGACACCTCCAAGGTCATGTAGCCAGCATGACTGCATGGAGCACCGTTACCTTCCCGCTGGAGCGGTACCTATTGATCTACTCACATTTGTATGTTTTCGAACTGCTAGGTTGGCAGAAGCTGGGGCTGACAACGGAATCCCACGCCACTCCCTGGATTCAAATCTGCAACCTTTCGGTCAACAAGTTTAGCAGCTCAGCGATTTAACCCACTGTGCCACCGGGGGTTCCCATATATATATTTATATAAATAAAAATGTATGGTTCGTTTGTGGGGTTAACATAACTGAAAAATCACTGGACGAATTGACACTAAAATTGGACACAATACACCTATCAGGCCAACGAGTGACCATCACTCATTAAAACACCGAAAAACATAGCAGAAGAGACTTAAAAAGCCCAAAAACAAAAAATGCATTACAACGCATGTGCAAAACCACATATATACACAAACACACATATATACTCATATACACAGACTGGGCCACAGCAACGCATGGCAGGGGACGGCTAGTGTGTATATATATATATATACATCCGTCCCATACACACACATATGAAAAATAAAATCTTGAAAAGCAAAAGAGCCATAAACAGCACGGCTAAAAGTTTTTTTAAAAGATAACAATCCAAAACTGCGATGACAGGTTGACTGTAGATTAAATCGTCCAAGTCTCATCTCCATACAAAACCTGCAACCCCACCCCCAATCCTGTCATTTCAAGCTGTATGGAGAACTTTTCACTCCAGAAGAAGACCCTAAAAACTGTTTCTGTGCAGGTGCTGGATTCCTCCTGGACAGGGAAAATAAATAATAGCCAGTAGAGTAGTGCACGGAATTCGTTTTGTCTGTTTAATTTGTTATTTCATTCCTTTCATTCCTTTTGGGAGCACATAACGGGAAGCCCCCTTCCAGCACGAAATTAAACTCGACACGAAAGCAAGCAGTAGTGGTTACCGGCTCCTGGCCTGTTTTTCATGGCACTCCTCATGTGGTCCCACTGAGAACTGCCACATGCTCTTCCCTCAGAGCCCTGCCTGTTGGGCCGCTGTCTGCCTCACCTGTTGTCTGCCTGCTTCGCCTCAACCACCGCCACCCACGTCCTCTGTAAACGGAGGGGAAAGCATCACAGGAAGAGTGGTATCTTAAACACTTTCTTTAAACCCAGGTCTCCTCTGCAGACTGAGGAGAAAGCATCACAGGAAGAGTGGCATCCTAAGTAACTCTGATGCTTTTAATCCAGGTGGTAATGAAGGATCTAGCCCTAAAACTAAGGTGAAGGGGAGCCTGGGGAAGGCTGGCCATTGCCACCAATGGACTGAAAATTTTCATTTTTTCGTTCGTAGAACAAAAACGCCCTTTCGAAAAAGCAGCCAATTTCGGGAGGTGCGCAAAAACGAAAACAGGGGCTTATGAATAAAACAAACTGAAACTGATCCTGATTCTATACAAATGCACAAGCCTAGTAGCCAGCCATGACCTTGACTTGAGCAATATAAACCATTCCCTCTTATTAGGCAAGGAGCCTGGGTGTGTGGTATTGGCCAACCAATGAAACTTGATTTTCTGGATCTATTGCAATTGCACTTCAGGACTGCTTTTGGAATAGAAAGTACCATAGTCACCCCCTTGGCAGGCATGTAGGCGGGGGGGGGGGGGAGGCTTGGGGGGCTTGACCCCCCCCCCCCCGAAATTCTCATGGTGGTCCGCGAGAAGGCCTTACTGGTACATTATTTAAACTGTTATTGTTATTCATATCATGATCTGATCACCATGCTCAATATATCCCATATGCATGGGGGTATTGGGGTAACGATACAAAAGGTTTGCTAGGGTAGACCCTCTTTCACTCAGACTCAGCCCCCGCCCGAAACAAACTCAGCCCCCCCCCCCCCACAAAAATCCTGGCTACGGGCCTGCCAGGGGTTTTCAGACAGGTAAATGGGAAAAAAGAGTGTCATCCTATGGATTTTGTCGAGTTTTGTAGCTATCCGTATTGGTCAACCAATTCTTGTTATCATGGTTAAATAAGATGACAGAGTCATAAGAACATAAGAAAGTCAATGGATGAGGAAAAGTTACTGTCATGTAATGCTGGCGTCAATACCAAGCATTTGATCACTATGTTTTACCACTGGAGTCCCAGGTGGCGCAATGGGTTAAACCCTTGTGCCAGCAAGACTGACGACCAACAGGTCAGAGGTCTGAATCCAGGGAGAGTGCGGATGAGCTCCCTCTGTCAGCTCCAGCTCCTCATGCGGGGACATGAGAGAAGCCTTCCACAAGGATGATAAAAACATCAAATCATCTGGGCGTCCCCTGGGCAATGTCCTAGCAGACAGCCAATTCTCTCACACCAGAAGCACTTGCAGTTTCTCAAGTCACTCCTGACACGACAAAAAAATAAATAAATTAGAGTCTCACTAATAAGAAGTGATCCCTAGAGCAGAGCTTTCCAAAGCGTGTGTTGGGGCATACTAGCGTGCCGCCTGTAGTTCCTGTGTGTGTCACTTGACAGTCCTGGCATTGCTATGGGAATTGTTAATATTTGCTGGTGATGGTCATTGTACTGCTTCTTGTTCGTTTTTGTTGCTGTTGTTATTCTCTGCTTTGTGCTGAGAGAGCATGGGATCCTAATTAAGGCCCCTTCTACACTACCATATAATCCAGATGATCAAATCTGATAATCCACATTATCTACTTTGAACTGGATTATATGAGTCTACACTGTCATATAATCCAGTTCAAAGCAAAGAATCTAGTTTTTATATGGCAGTGTAGAAGGGGCCTGAGATATGCTCACATAATTTTGCCTTGCCTTTGCAAACCTGGGCTTGGAAATTTTGCCCCTGGCAAAATATAATGGAAATAGAACAATTAATGTGTCTTACAGTATTATTATTAGAATTGTTAGAATAATGGACAGTAATCGGTTTGATGTAAACATGGAGTGGGATAGTGGAGCCAGGGTTCACAGGATCAAAGTGTTGGGATTTATAGATTAGGAGGGACGATAATGTAACCTACTATCCCTTCAGTGTTTTTGTCCTTCTAAACTTATCCGCAATTCATTTGGGAATGGATTTTGCAAGTAATAACAGTAGAGGTTGAACATTCCTTATCCAAAATGCTTGGGGCTAAAAGTGTTCTGGATTTTCAGATTTTATTTATTTATTTATTTATTTATTTATTTATTTATTTATTTATGGATTTTGGAATACCTGCACTTCCATAAATGTACCTAATGTGATATTTTGAAGAGGAGACCCAAGTCTAAACACACAATTTAGTTTTGTTTCATACGTACCTTAAACATATAATTTTATACACAATATTTTAGATTATTTTGTGCATGTTACAAAGTGCATATTGAACCATAAAAAAGCAAAGGTGTCACTATCTCAGCCACCCATGTGGACAATTTTGGAATTGGGCGTACTTTGGATATCAGAATTCCAGATAATAGATCCTCAACCTGTATGTTATTGTTGTGAGCAACTGCTTTCAATCTAGGCCCTTCCACACAGCTGTATAAAATCCCACATTATCTACTTTGAACGGGGTTATATGGCAGTGTGGACTCAGATAACCCAGTTCAAAGCAGACACTGTGGGATTTTCTGCCTTGATATTCTGAGTTATATGGCTGTGTGGAAGGGCCTCCAGATGCCAATTTCTTGAAATGGCTAGGCGTGCTCATCTCCATTTCTAAGAGATAGTCAAGTTAATTAGGGTTGTTGTTGTTGTGTACCTTTAAGTCATTCCAGATTTTGGGTGACCCTAAGGAACCTTCCACACAGCCATGTAACCCAGAATATCAAGTCAGAAAATCCCACAATATCTGCTCTGCGCTGGGTTATCTGAGTCCACACTGCCATATAACCCAGTTCAATGTGGATTTTATACAGCTGTGTGGAAGGGGCCCCAGATGGTTTCCGCTACTCTGGTTATGCTCCATCAATATTTACTCTGTTTCTGTGTTCACATCTCCTCCTCAGGTGGTATCATGGACACCTTTCTGGACCAGCAGCTGAAACTTTACTTCAAACCAAGGCTACACCATGGACCTTCTTGGTGCGAGAGAGCCTTAGTAAACCTGGCGATTTTGTGTTGTCTGTGCTGACAGACCAGCCTAAATCTGGAAGTGATGCTACTCCAGCTGGAGCCACCAACACCCCCAAAGAGCAGTTCAAAGTCACTCATGTCAAGGTCATGTGTGAGGTGAGACTCCAGGAGTAAGGCAGGGAGAGGAGGAACCAGGAACCCTCTTCCTTCCCACAGGACAGCCTGTGATGCACCCTCAGTGCATTTCCCTTAGGCTCTGTCTACACTGCCATATAATCCAGTTTCTAACTTCAGATTATCTGCTTTGAACTAGATTATATGAGTATATTATATGAGTATACACTGCCACATAATCCAGTTCAAAGCAGATAATCTGGATTCAGAAACTGGATTATATGGCAGTGTAGCTAAGGCCTCACATCTCCAAATTTAGAAATGATCAAGACCCCCGTCAATCTCATTTATTTAGTTAGTATACTTTACGAATTTGTATCTGACTCTTCTTTAAGCAAGGTACGAGGCTTGAATGAAAAGTAATGCCTCCACCTTCGTAACTCCTCAACAGATGGCAGTACTGGTATGCGGCAGGTACTGGCTTGTTCAGTGGACTCTCCTCTACAGTTCCATTTTGGCAGGAAGCCTTAGCATTGAATGGTTGTGTTGTTAAAGTGCAAAGTTTGGAACCCTGCACAGATGGTTGGTCAATGCGACTTAAGCAATGTGCAGTCATTAAATTTGACAGCAGAAGTTGTCACCCCAAAGGAGATTCATCAGAGAATGCATGCTGTTTATGGTGATTGTGTTGATGTGAGTACTGTGCGTGGTTGGGCGAGTAAGTTTAAAGATGTTGAGGTGGGAACATTTGACTTGCATGACAAACAAAGAGTTGGACGAGTTTCACAAGTGAAAGGTTGACAGATTGACTCAGGACAATCGTCGTATCACTCAGAGAGAAATTTCAAGCATAATCGCCATTTCACAAGAATGTGTGGGTCACATTATTGCTTTGCTTGGCTATCGGAAGATCTGTGCATGATGGGTACCCAGGATGAGAGAACTGTGAGACGCTGGTTGCGGAAACAGAGTGTCGACTTCTTCCATGACGGCTTCAGAAAACTTGTTCATTGTTGGCAGAAATGTATCCAATTGTCTGGTGATTATGTGGAAAAGTGAATAGTGGTAGTTAAAGAGCACATTCTAACAAACACACAGGCAAAGGCCAAGGCTTCTCCTTTCATTCCCAGCTTTGGTGCTCAACTCCTGCATCTGTAGACACCTCCTGGTCATGTGGCCGGCATGACTGCTTGGAGCGTCTTTTTGCCTTTTCCCACCAATGCGGTACCTATTGATCTACTCACATTTGCATGTTTTCAAACTGCTAGGTTGGCAGGAGCTAGGGCTAACAGCAGGAGCTCACCCCATCTTGCGGATTCAAACTGCCAACTGTAGCCACTGTGATCAGGAGAACGGACATTTTAGCGTGGCCACATGGCCCCAGAGTAATTTGTGTTGGTCTTGACAAAATCCTCAGAAAATTAATATTCAGTATTGTTTACTTTAGAAAGGAAAATACACTATCGGTGGCCTAGAAAAATTCAGCAATTTGTCTGACCTCGTGGATCATTTTAAGAAGGCTGGCATTGAAGAGGCATCTGGATCCTATGTGTATTTAAGACAGGTAAATATGAAAATTAACATACAAAGTAAGATTGGAGAGAGAAGAAGTAAAACAAAGTGTTTTCAAAGTAATATAGAAACCATTTAATAATAAAAAGACTAGAAGACTCAGAGCGGATTACAGCATTTACATATATAGGCAAACAGTCTATGCCAGGGGTCCACAAACTTTTTAAACAGAGGGCCAGGTCACAATCCCTCAAACTGTTGGAGGGCCGGATTACAATTTGGAAAAAAAAAGAATGAATTCCTATGCACAGTGCACATATTTTATTTGTAGTACAAAAAACACTTTAGAACAATACAATAATTAAAATGAAGAACAATTTTAACAAATATAAACTTATTAGTATTTAATATATTGGCAGGCCATCAAATGCTAATCAAGGTGGTCAGTTGAAACATTCACACCTAGCTCCAGCAGACAAGAGTCCTTTGTCCCACCCTGGTCAAACCCATTTTCCTAGTTCCAATAGACCTCACTACCTCTGAGGATGCTTGCCATAGATACAGGTGAAACGTCAGGAGAAAATGCCTCTAGAACATGGCCATATAGCCCGGAAAAAAATCTACAACAACAACCTTATTAGCATTTCATTTGGAAGTGTGGGCCTGTTTTTGGCTGATGAGATAGCATTGTTGTTGTTGTGTGCTTTCAAGTCGTTTCAGACTTAGGTTGACCCTGAGCGAGGGCCAGGTAAATGACCTTGGAGGGCCGTATTCGGCCCCTGGGCCATAGTTTGAGGACCCCTGGTCTATGCCTTTACATTCCTATAAAATGAGACACAGAAACTCAAACCAAGGCAGAGGCTTCTCCTTTCATTTCTGGCTTCTGGAGGCGGTGCTCATCTCTGGCTCTTTTGCAAAGCGAGGAGCCTGCGTTGTCATCTCCTGGTTGTGTGGCCGGCAAGGTTGCTTGGAGCATCTCTTTGCCTTTTCCCGCTGAAGCGGTACCTATTTATCTACTCACATTTGTATTTTTTCAATCTGTTAGGTTGGCAGGAAATGGAGCTGACAGATGGGAGCTCTCCCCGTCTTGCAGATTTGAACTGCTGACTTTCATGTCAGCAGTTCAGCAGTACAAGGGTTTAACCCATTGCGCCACTGCGGCTCAGATATTTATTACCTATATGTGCTAGAGCAATAGCAGACTTAAAACAGATGAAATTTTTGATAAATGACCAAGGCAAGATACAACTATTGATAAAAAACAGACAAGTAAGCAGAGGATAATTTATTAGTAATAGGACTGACGGGGATGTAGTTTCTATGCATCTATAATTAGGAGAGGGGAGGGAGGATGAGATAAAAAGCAAGGTTTAAACTACAGTTTATTCCTGTACTGTTACATTGTATATATTGTAAAAACATTATTTTTTTAAAAAAAGAAAACAAACCAAATCGGCAGGTAAATATGGCTGTTCATAAAAAGGGGGGTTCCCCTTGCCTGGCTGTCTCCATTGCTATTTTTTATAATGCTTGTTAGGTACTTCCTTTTAAACAGCTGAAGAAGCACAAAGCTAACATAGACAATAGTGAAGAAAGACATAATTTGTTCAAACAAATCATAAAACTTGGATTTCAAAAGTAAACTCAGCCTCAGACTTCTCCTATCCTCTCGTCTGTAGCAAGTAAAATGTAAAGTATCTGACAAGAAACTTTTCAAAGTATGGAATATGTATAGAAAAGATTGAGGAGAGATATTCTTCTTCTGTCCAAAATAATTGGGGGAAGTGGTTTTGCCTAAGGAACGGTTTAAACCTTCTTCAGGGAAATAGATGGTGTATTTACAATGCAGTTTGGCTCCATTTTAACTGCCATGGCTCAATGTTATGTAATCATGGTGCCCTTGAGTCTAGGATGCGGAAAAATGGCTTCAAACTACAAGAGAGGAGATTCCATCTGAACATTAGGAAGAACTTCCTGACTGTGAGAGCTGTTCAGCAGTGGAACTCTCTGCCCCGGAGAGTGGTGGAGGCTCCTCCTTTGGAAGCTTTTAAACAGAGGCTGGATGGCCATCTGTTGGGGGTGCTTTGAATGCAATTTTCCTGCTTCTTGGCAGGGGGTTGGACTGGATGGCCCATGAGGTCTCTTCCAACTCTATGATTCTATGAGCCGTGGCTTTACAAAGTCTCTAGCCTTCCTTCCTTATTTATTTACTTATTTACTCTATTTATATCCCACCTTTCTCTACTCCGAAAGGGACTCAAGGCGGCTTTACATATAGGCAGCTATTGAATGCCTTTAAACAACATACAATTAAAATATATTTAAGTTAAATTTCAAAATTAAAATTAATACACTTTAAAACATTTTTAAAAAATCCATTCACTATTAAAATCACACCACCCACAGTCATAATCCAGGCCATTCCAATAATCATTGCACATATTCTGTATCTATTATTGCACTATAGTTTTAGTCCTTCACCAAATGCCAAATCCCATGTTTGGAATGCATTGAGCCATGCAGTTTAAAGCGGTGTCAAACTACAGTAATTCTATAGTGAAGTAGATGCAGCCTTAGGATGGATCTACGCTGTCATATAAAATCCAGATTATTTTATTTGAACAGGATTACATGGCAGCGTAGACTCATATAATCCGGTTCAAAGCAGAAAATGTGGATTATCTGCTTTGATAATCTATGGCAGTGTAGATCCAGCCTGGGTGAAGCAGGACAAGTGTGGGATGAGGGTCTCAACTAGAACTGTTTGAAGCAATGCATTGACAGGGATGAACCGATCCACATTCTGATGTGCCACAAAGCCTTGTCCTTTGATTCCTACCTTTTATTTCTGTCTTGGAGAAGCTACTTCTTTGAACCACGTTTTTTGTGTGCTTATCCCTTGTTCCAGCCTTTTAACGCCACCCGGGTGAATGCAGCTGACATTGAAGACAGGGTTCAAATGCTCAACAAGAGGAGCCAAATAGAAGAGGCAGCCAAAGGTGGCTTCTGGGAGGAGTTTGATGTAAGTAGAGAGTTGCGCTTGGAGTGGGAGGAGAGTGGCCCACGGACTGAATGGGGATCCTAAGGATGTTTTTGTGGGCTCAGATTTTTAAGCTCCATTTTTTTTGCTCTATGATGTTCCTGAGGTAAGTGTGGGAGACAATTTGGACCCACTTGAGTTGTTTTATTATTTATTTATTTATTTATTTACTTCCTATATTTATACCTCGCTCTTCTCACCCCCAAGAGGGGACTCAAGGCGGCCTCACAAACACCATACGGTGTCATCATAATAAAACAATCAGCAATACATTAAAATATTAAAAATATTAAAACAATAATTAAAACAATTGATTAATTGTTTTAAGCCCCCAAATCAGACCTTTTCCCAATAGGAAGTGACTTGCCCCTACCTTTTTTCATATATTCATAAATTATCTGGAAGAAATCTTATCAGACATTTCCCCAAGCTTGGAACAAGAAGAATCCCCTTATTGCTCTATGCTGATGATACCGCTATCATCTCACGCTTCAGGGCAGGACTTGGAAATTGATTCCAAACATTTATTTTTGCTAGCTGCTTATGAACCTCATATTTAACATTTACCCATATATACTTGAGTATAAGCCAACCTGAATATAAGCCAAGGCACCTAATTTTACCACAAAAAACTGGGAAAACGTATTGACTCGAGTATAAGTCGTGGGTGGAAAATGCAGCAGCTACTGGTAAATTTCAAAATAAAAATAGATACCAATAAATTAAATTAACTGAGGCATCAGTAGGTTAAATGTTTTTGAATATTTACATAGAAATGTAATTTAAGATAAGACTGTCAAACTCTGATTAAACATTTATTTATTTAAGATATTTATAGCCCACCTTTCTCAGCCATACAGCGACTCAAGGCGGGTTACAGATTGGCACAATTCAATGTCAGGCATTCATAAAAGTGCCATTAAAAACAATCAACATTACAATATAAAACATAACTAAAAACTGTTAAAGCATATAATCATCGGTGTCATTTTGTTATTCTAACCTTCTTCAATGTAAGTATGCTTACGTATCCTTCCAATAATAATAGAGTAAAATAATAAATAGGATAATAACAATAATAAATAGAGAAAAAAAGAAATTCAATAATAATAATAATAATAATAATAATAATAAGAGTAAAATAATAAATGTAACAAAAATAATAGAGTAAAATAATGTAAATTTAATAATAATAATAATAAATAGAGTAAAATAATAAATTTAATAAAATAATTCTAATAACAGAGTAAATAATAAATAACCTTGGACTTTAGTATAAGCCAAGGGGAGCTATTTCAGCCTCTAAAAGGGGCTGAAAACTAGGCTTATACTCAAGTATATACAGTAAGTATCCTCTCCCACTTTTTGATGTGCCACGTGAGCCTCTCTCTTCCCTAAATGTCCTTCTTCTCCACCTCTTTCTTTTGCAGAGCTTGCAGAAACAGGAGACTAAGAATTTGCATGAACGGACTGAGGGCCAAAGACCAGAAAACAAGTGCAAGAATCGCTATAAGAACATTTTGCCATGTGAGTTTTGAGCGTTATCTCTCTTGTCCCAGAGACTGAGGGAATTAAATTAGCATTTCAGCAAGAAATATTGTCTGTTCAATGCTTCAAACAAGCAAATGCTCCGAACTGAAGTAGAACATCGTCACAAGACAAAGTTCTGGCTGGAAAGTCCTCCTCCTAATGAAGGAGGATTGAATAAAGTCCAACATTATCTACTTTGAATTGGAATATATGTCAGTATGGACTCAGATAAGCCAGTTCAAAGCAGATATTGAGGGATTTTCTGCCTTGATATTCTGGGTTATATGGCTGTGTGAAAGGGCTCTCCGTCTAATAATATTGGCTTCAAGTATTGAAGCTGAGATTGTTTGAGGTGAAGAGATGGATCTGTGGGAGATTATTTTGGGAGAACATTATTCCTGTAGTACTTGGATGAGACTCCTCTAGGCCAGCATTCAAATAAATTCAGTTACAGGAGGCAAACCCACACCATCCCTCATCTTGCTGTCTTGCTCCAAGAAGGTTGTCAAAGCTATCATGGGATTATCCTGACTCAGGCTGGATCTACATGCCCAATATCCCAGGGCAGTGGGATGAGTCTATCTGGCAGTGTAGACTCATCCTTCGTAGATGCGACTGGCAGGAACAAGAGGCAGGGCCTTTTCAGCGGTGGCCCCTCGGCTATGGAACGCCCTCCCTAAGGATCTTAGATCGGCCCCTTCCCTCCTAACATTTCGAAAGAAAGTCAAAACCTGACTTTTTGAGCAAGCATTTGCAGATACAGTGTAACAGGCTATTTTAGATCCATGGAATGATCATTAGACAATGCGACTGGTAAATGATTTTAGTAATGAGACATTGAGGACTTGTGTTTTATTGCTTTTATTGTCTTTATTGTTTTTATATGGTTTATATTATTTGATAATGTTTTAATTATATTTTATGTTATTGGAGGCCTTGAATTTTGCCATTTATAAATCACCCTGGGCTGAGAAGGGTGGTGTAACACCAGGGAGGGAGGACACCAGTTTGTTAAAAGAAGCATGCACCTATGTGCAGTCTTCTGCCAAA